CTTCATATATATATCGAATATAATCTTCATTGTCGATGAAAACATCACCTGATTTTAATGTAATTTTCATTACTGCCGAAAAACATCACCAAAAGATTTTACACTGTGAATATCCGCCTCCGAATATCCATGATTTCAGCGACTCTATCGATACCTCTCTGGCTATCTCTCCTATGCAAAGATAGGCGATAAATTCCGTTTATTTGAGGTGCGTGAGGAGGTTTGATGCGGTGAATGATAGATGATGATGATACGACAGTGATGATGGATGATGATGATTGATGTAGTTATGGGAGAGAGAGAAGAGGGGATGATGGAGTAAGGGGGTAATGCGGCCAAAGTGGATTAAGAATCCTACACTCTAAAGAAAAATATTGTAAATTTTAAATGTAAAATTTTGTTAATTTTGACACAGAAGGAAAAGTAGATAAGTAATCATCATAAACTAAATCCCTAAAAAATCTCCTAAAAATTTGAATTCGGAATACAGTAATATATCATAGATGATAAATGAAATACTTTCAAAGGCAATTTATTGGGTGCACCCGGGGCACATTCTCCCCCTCCTATTTTTTGCACTACTAGTACTTATTGTACTTTTTTTTTTACTTTTTCTAATAATCTTCCTATTATTTGCAAGTTTAATCCATGCCACTTTTTCTCTCTCTTCTAAAAAAACATCTCTAATATTCAAACGATCATATCTCTCTATCCGTGAAGAATTAGAAAACGTGTTATACATGAAAATTATAGTACTCGTCGACATCTATCCAACAAGATCCATGTCGAATATTTTTTTCGAGTTTAAAAATGACTAAATTTTGATGGGCAGAATAAGATGGATATCTAGTTTAGAAAGATGGATAATCCAATTCATTTTAAATTGGTTATCCATTGTATTTATTCTGATTATCCAACCAGTTTGAACTGGTTATCCAACTTGTTTGTACTGGATATCCACCCATTTGGTTTGTATACCTATCAAACTTGTTTGTAATGGATATCCCACTTGTTTGTAATGAATATCCATTTTGTTTGTACTGCATATCCAACTCGCTTGTATTGGATATCCATCCATTTGGTTTATATGCTTATCCAACTTGTTTTGTAGTTGTAATCCAACGGTTTTTTATGCATATCCAATTTGTTTGTACTGCATATCCAACTCGCTTGTACTGGATATCCAACTTGTTTATACTGGATATCCATTCATTTGGTTTGTATGTCTTTCTAACTTGTTTGTATGCACTGGATATTCATTTCTGCCCATAAGATTTAAATGCATTTAAAGTTCAAAAGAAATATTCAACATTGATCTTATCCGATAGATCTCGTCGAGCACTATAAATTTCATGTACAATTCGTATTATAATTCTTTACGGATCAAAAGATATAAGGAACACAACAATATGAATGTAAAATAAGTTGGTTATCCATCTTCTTAAACTGGATATCCAATGTGTTCATAGTGATTATCCAACTTCTTTGTGGTGGTTATCCAGTATTTTTTTTTCTTGCTCTTTTATGAAAATAATTGTCAAACTTTTTTGTACTGATTATCCAACGTGTTGCACTGATTATCCAATTATTTTCTACTGATTATCCAAATTGTTTGCAATGCTTATCCAATCATTTTTTCTTTCTTTCTTTTTGTTTTTGAAGAGTGAATGTCAAAAATATGATTGGATAACAAGTACAAACAGAATGGATAATCACTCCAAACCGGTTGGATAATCAGTAGAAACAGAACGGATAACCATTTTTCAAAGAAAAATGAAAAATACATTTCTTCATTTCTGTCCGTAAAATTCAAATGCATTTAAAGTTCAAAAATAATATTCAACATGGATCTTATCGGATAGATTTCGTCGAGCACTATAAATTTCATGTGTAATTCGTATTCTAATTCTTTACGGATCAGGAGATATATGCAATACAAGAATCTTAATCTAAACTAAACTGGTTATCCATTTTTCTAAACTAGATATCCATTTTATTCTGGCCATCGAAATTTAGTCATTTTTAAACTCGAAAAAAATAGTCGACATGAAACTTATTGGATAGATCTCAACGAGTACAATAAAATTCATGTGTAACACGTTCTCTAATTTTTTACGGATCATGAGATATGGTCGTTTAAAGATTAGAGATGTTTTTTAAAGGAGAGAGAAAAAAATGAAAGGGACTAAACCTGTAAATTATAGAATGTTATTTAGAAAAGTGGAAAAAAGTGTAGTAAGGACTAGTAGTGTAAAAAATAGGAGGGGGAGTATGGTGCCCCCGGGTATACTAGATAGAGAATCCTTTCAAAATCAAATCTCGAAAGTTTTCCAAATCAAAATAATCTGTCAAAATTATAAATTTCAAAAATTGACTCAAAAGATAAATCAAGTCTTAATATAACGATAGCAATGTTTCTTTTTGAAATAGAATATAAAGCCTAAGATAAATGAATAATCAATGGTCAAGTAAATATATTTCTTCCTCGATCCTTTTAGGTAATTTTCATATTTCTCGGTTTTGAAAAATTTATTCTACTTTTTTAATTTCTCCCATTGCTTAATTTTTAAAAATACTTTCTCCGTCTCAAAACTCAGTGTTAAATATTGGACCGAAGGAATAATAATTATGAATCTATTAATAAAATCATAATTTCCATAACTTAATAAAATTTGGGGGCCCAACAGTATAAATTTGGAGAATTTTTTATATACCATCAATTTTGTAAAAAAAAAAGTCCTACCAATTGTTGAAAATTATTTAAATTTTGAATTTAAACCACAAACATGAAAATATTTTTCATATTTTATAATTTAATGATGTAAAAAATCGATGAACATATCCTAAAATTAAGAATATCATTTTATAGTAAAAAAGTAATCAATTTATAAAAATTATCAATCAACGCGCGAGAATAATACTAGTATTGATAAATGTTTGAGTAGTTGTATAATCATTACTGATTTATTTGGTTGGGAAGGAGATTAATGCCGTTCCGAGTTTATTTTTTTACTCTATCAGTAATGATATGGCAATAGCCAAAGGCATGCAATGGTTGATAACCGAAGTCCATATGTTCTATCCATTGTGTGTTTTTTTTTTTTTTTTGGCCCCCTCCAAAATTCCCTTCCATTTTAACATCGACTAATGTGGTCACGTAATTCGATGTCTAAATTTCTTAACAAATTGTGACATGTAAAAAATAATAAAAAAAAGAGTAAGGGACTGACAATTTCTACAACATAGAATAACCATCTCCGAGAAATAATCCAGTTTCATAAAAATTTGTCCAAAAACAATAGTTCCAGCTAATCGGAAATTTCTTCGGTCCTGGGTTCCTTTTCTGAGGTTTTTGATCATGCAATTTAATCTAATTTTGCTAACAATTCAAGGACAAATAGAAAAATAGTCATATAGGTGACAGATAAAAAGGAGTAAAAAATATACATATTACTCAAAAAAAAAAAAAACAAGAATTATACTTAAAGAAAATAGGGAGTCAAATTTCCAATTATGTAAAGCATAGAATAGTACATAATGCGTCTCATCGACATGGATGCAGGCGATGCTCCATTGTAACAGGAAGGTCTTCTTTTTGAACGAGGAATCGACCACTTTAAAGTGCGAAGTCCTATTCTGCAACTCGTTCATTGGACCCGCTATCCAGTTATATGAAGTTTCTCGCATGGTCTTTCTTTTAGTTTATTAAAAAAGACAATGCTCGCATACTTTTAACCTCTAGAGTTTCAGTTATCTTTGTTGTTGATGCTTTAAACCGAACATAGATAATACCACTTTCCTTAACCACAACAGATGACAAGAATGAAGCTTAAAAATCTAGAGGAAATTTGTTAGTTTTCTATTTCCACAGTATTTTTTGAATGATTCTTCTTCATTCTTGTTCGAAGAGTTAAGTTAATAATTCTAGTGTATTACCCAATAAATTTTATTTAATAATCAATAACTTTAACTGATAACAAGTGATAAAATTACTTAATACTTTGATTACCTTTTTTTTCGTTCACTCTTATAATATTAGTGAAGGAACAATGACGATTGGAGTCTGAAATTAATTTGAGAAGCCGGTATCGAAGGACGGAAAGAAATGAAGAGAAATTGGAGACTAGAATTAATTTAGAAAATTTGTTTTGTACACAAGTCAAAAAGTTCGTTTTGACGTTTAAGTTTTTAATTTTGTTTGATGGATTTTGCATATATTTAAGGAAAAATGTTTAAGAAATATTGTATTTGAGTAATGAAAACTAGGTATTAGACCCGTCCGATGGACGGGGAAGGCATACACATTTAGACATTTTTACATAAATTTTGTATTTTTATAAAATATGTAATGACTTCAGTTTTAAACATGATTACCTCTGAATTTACAGGAATTTATTTTTTTTTTAAATGACATTTTAAATTTACTGGTGATAAAGTTTATGCAGATCTCTCTAAAATTTGCTAGGATTTTGTACTCTTTCCAATCAATCTCTGTGTTAGGATTTTGTTCATGAAAATAAGGGTTTGGTTTTTATTATTTTGTTTTTTTAAAAAAATTATTGTAGTTGTTTTTTTTGTTTTATTATTTTATTTTGTGCATTTTTAAGTCTAAGAAATTAAGAAAATTATATACTTTATTAAAAAAAGCTGATATCATCGTATGTTATGGACCAATCAAAATATTGGAATATAATTAAAGAGGTGATTTTTTAAATATTGAGGAAAAAAAAAAGGAAAAATGAGGATTGATTTTTTTTTTCGAAAAGGAAGAAAAAACATTATGTTGGCAACCTGTTTTAGAAAGTTTTTTTCTTTTTCCTCAAAATGATTACTACGTTGATTAAATTACACTCCCCCTCTACGCCTAAATTTATACCGGAGGCGCATCGATCATTCTGGCGCTTGAACGACACCTCTGATTACTGAACTCAGTGGCAGATTTGTTCCTGAATTCGTTCGAGATTCTGAATTGGAACACTTTCAATTCAATCCCTGATAAAATGGTGAGAAAAGAATCCTACTTCTCTGCGACGTATTCTTTAAGTATATATGCTGCTTTGCTTGTTCGGTAGTGAATTATGTTTGAAAGGATTTCTGCATTTCTATTCTGTCGTTAGTAGTTAATTACTCTACTTAGTGGGTTTAGGTTAAGAAGAAATGGGGTTGATTTTTTCCCCCTTTTATCTGTGAGATCATTTACTTGAACATGGTTTAGGTAGAGGAATAAAATTTTGGGCTTTTATCTCTGTGAATGGAGGGCCATGATTTTCGTTTTTTTTCTCGTTATTTGGCCTCTGATTTAGTGAATTCAAAAGAGGTCATAAGGAGCTAGGAATAGGTTCTTCCAGATTTATTATTTACTTCTACAACTGGAAGGTAACCTGGTCTGGCTGAGTTGTTTAAGTACTCTGATTTTATCGATATATCTGTTGCCCAATTTATGGTATTCGGAACATGATTCAAGCATTTTCACATAAGTTACTTAGTGGACTAATGCACTTTCCCGTTTGCTGGTTCTATGTTGTAGGCGAACACATTAAGATTATATCTGACTTGCATAAGGAATACTCTTGAAGCTGCAATGTGTCTGCAGGTATTTGTCATTCTTCCTTTTGAAATATTGGTTTGAAGGCATTTTCTGTTTCCAGTATTGTGGAGTACATATACTTGAATCAAATCCATCAAAAGGTGACATATGATGTTAAGTTGCTAACACGTATCAGCATTTTCAGTTGATTGTGCCAAAGTTTTTCCTTAGTTCTTTTACCATCTCTTTCTGTGTATTGTTGGTTGGCACCTGTCCTACTACTATCTTGTTTTCCTGTTTTCCGTATTGCCATCTTTTCACATTCAGCCTAGTCATGTTTCTCCTTGTGATAAGCCTATAAATTGTACTTTCATTTCTTCAATGGCCTGGATGGTTAAAAGCTTTAGAAAGACTTCCGCAACCGATGTTGTCATATGTAGTGTCTCTGGTTCTGATATTTCGCAATATGCTGAACTCGACAAGTATTTTCCATGATTTGTTGGTGATGACTTCCTTATTTATACCTGTTCCTTTCTTATTTCTGGTGGCAGAATTTCCCTTGTCAAGAAGTTGAAAGACATAACAAGCCTGAAGTTGAACTAAAGTGAGTTGTAGCTTATTGTTTTTATATTTAGCTCAATTTACTTGTTGTTGCTCATATAATTAGCTTCATGCTCCTGTTCAGAGTTATGTAATATAGCCCTCAAGGCAGATATTACAAAAATTCAAGTTCTTATGCCGCCGTTAGGTTTATCTGTCACATCCGGCCTAATTAAGATTGGTAGACTTGAAAGAATTAAGGCAGATTGTTTCTTCCAAGGCCACAGCTTGCCTCAATTTCATAATTTGAGACAATGTTATTAGTATATTTCTGTCACGAAACGAAGATAATGCTGCTTGCAAGCACGAGCCGAAATAGGAATTGGCTTACATTTTCCTGTTTGCCTCTTTAGAGTTTAGACAGATGTATCCATATTCTTCTGTATGCAATATTTGATAGCTGGTGCTGTGTGAATATGCTTTTTCTGATAGGTCACTGTGAACTCACCTGTCAACACTTATGATGATGGCTTGTTTTGGTTTTCAAAATGATAAGCGAACCTTTTGTGCTCATACTGTTGATATTTGGAGATTTTATCTGATGATGAAGCCAACCAGAGTCTTTTCTTGCTGTTTTCTGAGCATTTTCACCATTTGGGATTTTTATTTCTGCATTTTATGGTTTTACTTTTATGAGATTCATACCCTACTATGTCCAGTAATCCTAATTCATTTTCATTGTTGTGTTCATTTTCAGGACTAGCCCAGAGCTTTTGCTTAATTCTGTAAGAACCATTTCCCTGGCATTTTTCTTGTGGGCTTTCGTTGCTTTGCTCCTTTTCTATTCATAATTCTGAGTTGGAAATCTCAATAGACGCACATTAGATTTCAAATGAGAATTGTTTCTGTTGGTTTCTTTGAGCTACCATATCAATTTTGATGAACATTTATAAATGTATTAAACTTTTGTGTATGCGATGGTGGAGCATGAGCAAAATACCCTTGCATTCTGTATTAAAATTAAAAGAAAAATGACCTATAAGATGCTACTTGGGGTTATTTTGGGGGCCTTTTACCAGGACGGTAATTTTTGTGTGTGTGTGTGTGCGTGCGTTTTTTGGTTTTCCTTTTTCCTTTGCAGTTTAGTTTTTCTAGATTGAAGTTGTAGTACATTGAAGGAAAGTTGGACTAGGAACTAGAATTCTGCAGAATATAAAAAGGATCAGTGGAGTATGATTGTACTTTTCAAGAAATGGCTCTTGGAAACCAATAAGCATGAAGGTGGAACGTATTCACCAATGAATGTTCTGGATTATAACCGAAATAAATTTAGCCTTTATTTTGTCGATGGGAAACTCCTTGCTTGTGGCGTGTTGCTTCTGATTCCTTGGAACGCATGCATGTTCTAGTTTTTTACTGTATATAACTAACAACATAGACTTTGGGTGTAAATACCAACACCTACTTTGCGTAGAATTGATGAGCAGATAAACATTTTACGTGCAGGGGTTATCATGTGACATGTCATCTTTTTAAATAGCAAGAACTTGATATATCTATTGAAACTCTACTTTCTAATGGGCATTTACTTACTCGTTTGGCAGTGCCTTTTGTTAGGTTGTGATATGTAGAAATGAGGCAGAAAAGTGCTTGATAGAAACATCAATAAATTCCCTACGCATAAGCCTTAAGGTAACTATTTCTATTTCAGATGGATAGATTTTATTTATGTAGCAATTCCTTGTGTGTGATTCTGGAAATATTTATGTTTGCTTTGAGATTTACTCAAAGGTCCTTGTTTCTGATTATAATTGAATTGGTATGTTGATAATTATTTGTCAAAACAAATAATTTGTTATACTTCCTCTTTCTTTTGTTTTCCTTAAAGCTTTTTTGGAAGGAAATTTTTATGCTTTTTTTTTTTTTTTTTTTTCTTTCCCTCTTTTCAGGTGAAGCAGACGGATGAACTTGAAAACATTTTAACAAAAAAGTTCCTTCGATTTTTGTCAATGAGAGCCGAGGCATTTCAGGTATTGAGGAGGAAGCCTGTGCAGGTATGTTTGGCTTGAATTTGATCAGCTCAGAGTCACTTGAAAATGTTTCCCACAACTTGCTTTTGATTTTCAATTGTTTAAACTTTGATCATACTTGTAAAGGACACTCATTATGGAAATGGCTGTATGTACGACTTTAAATTGAATAAAGCACAACTTTTATGAACAACAAAACTCGTCATATGAATATTGGGGTTTTTTTTTTTTTTTTGATTGTCGATGTTGAAGATGTACATTGCTGTTCATTCTCTGATAGGTTAGATGTTGAAAGTTGATGTTTCCTCTGTTACACCGACAGTTCTGAGAAGACTAGTGAGCTGGGGTTTTAACTGAATCAACTCTTCCTGATAACCCCAGATCAATACTGAGCTACCCACACCATTTTAGATAGACATGTAGTTTCCGTTTAGATTTCCTTTGAGCCACTTTTATTATTTAGCTTAACTATATAGTGGCTCTTTCCAGGGATATGATATCAGTTTTCTCATAACTAATTATCACTGCGAGGAGATGCAGAAACACAAGCTCATAGATTTTATTGTTCAGTTCATGGAGGTGAGATTTCTTTCAGTTTCAACATTGTTGTCTCTAGTTGTTTGCAGTAACACATGACTTTGATCTAAAAGAACCTTCTTTCTCCTAGCTTATAAACAAAGATAATTTTTTTTTCTTTGTAATTTGCATTCCTCTAATGCTTCTTCTATTTGGCAAAAGATCTCCCCTTCTGTATTTTTGGTTCCGGAAGATTTTGTGTCCATTGAGAGAAAGGGTGCATTTTGAATTTGGAAATTCACGTGCAGTATGTACATAACGGGATAAAAACGAATTTGGAGAAAAATTTCTATGATTGTATTCAAAGGACAAGGGTTTTTGTCGTTTAAGGCGCCTGCGTTGATTTCTTATTGTCACTATGGTACTTTCATCTGTAACTGCAGGACATTGATAAAGAGATAAGTGAACTGAAATTGTCTGTGAACACAAGAGGGAGGCTTGTTGCCACAGAGTTTCTCAAGCAATTCATCTGATGATTTGAGCCCACAATAACGCATCACATTTGGCTTCTGCAGATGGCTTAATTGCAAAAACTCCCAACTTTCTAATGACCTGCTGCTGAAAATCAACTGAGGAATGGCCAATATCCTTGATATCTGTTGTGTAGGTTAATATCAAAAGAAAATTGGGAAATTGTACTCGAGGAATGATCTTCATGAAGTTTTTGGTTTGATCTTTGAAAGGAAAGTATCGGCTTGTTAAATTTTCTTTTAGTGTATCGTTTATTCTGATATTACAAATAATAAGTACAGTAGCTAAGTTTACTCAGGTGGGGAACGCCAGTAAAAACAGAAGCTCAAAAAGGAATAGCAAAATTCACAGTTGTCTGCTCACTGCTCTTAAACAAAATGGCACTTGAAGGCACCGAGCCACCAGACCAACTACCTAAGGTAAACTCAAAAGAGCATTTGGATCTTGAATTCGATCCATATGGATGGAAAATACAATACTTTCAACAAAACAAATATTTTGTTGAATTAAAGTTGTAATATATAGATCGTTTTTGTGGGAGTGTATCATGGAGGCTACTCTTTAATTTTATCATTGCTTCCCCTTGAATTCGAGTATATGGTAAAGACTTAAATCAAAATTTGTATAAATCAAAGTGTAGGGTGCTCAAAACAGTTGAATCAATTATATTAAAACTAGGAAGAAAGAGTTATTACAACTACTATAAAGACAAAAAAAATATCAACAACGGAAAGAACAGATTTTACATAATAGTATTCCAAATTTCGAATGATGATAAAAGAATTCATTCAATCTAAGTTTTTATCTCAATTTGCGCCTCTCCTTGGCTTCCTTCCGCAACCGCTCCATCCTTTCTTCTTCTGCAATCTTGCGAAGCTCTTCTTCATCTTCTTTCCGACCTAATTTGGAACTTTTCCTTTCTTCCTTCTCAATATCATGGAAGCTGGCCTCCATGTTCCTATCATCCCCTCTATCTGTATACTTCCGAGGGTCGTATCCGGTCATCTCCCTCAGCATCCTCAACGCCTTTTCATCCTCATCCTCATCATCATGTCTCCTCGGCCTTTTCATCGGACGGCGTACTTCCGTTGGTGGCCGGCGGCTTACTTCCTTGTGTACTACGGCCGCCGCCACCTTTGGTTTGTTTTCTCTAATGGGACGATTAACATCGTCTTTCCTTGTTGATGAAGATTGCTTCGAACTCATTGGAAGTACTGGGAGTGCACTGACCTTCTTTTGCGATACAACTACAGGAACCCTAGTCGTCACCGCCTTTTTCTCCGGAGAATCGATCCGAACATGCGAGGGAGAGACTACTTTTGGAGCTGCCGCCGCCGGAGCATCATCGTCGGAGAATAAAAAGGAGTAATCCCGGCTGTATTTTATACACTCCACCTTGTCGTGAACGTCCAGATCTTCAACTTTTCCGTCATCTTTCTCTGCTCTGGATTGCCGGATCCTTCTGAGCAATGATCCAGGACGAACTGAGTAGCAATCCCTCTTTTGAACCACTCCTTGAGAAACAATAAGTCGCTCCGAAGTTCCAAAAAAGGAGCCACTATAAATTGATGAAGAATATTCCTTCTTCTCCATCTTCTTTCTTTGAACGAGTTCTTTCAATCTCTGGTTCATATCTCAAAACTCAGAAAAGTGCGAGATTATGGAATTTCTTCTAACTAAGAACAATGTTGTTACTATAACGTGAAATAAAGACCGGAGTTGTTGAGAGGGATATTGATTAGGGCTCCTGATGATCGCGATATGTAGAACAGAAGAAGAGAGAACTTTGCTTCCTTTATATAGTATGAAAATTGGCCTCCAAACCAAATTTGGATTTGGAAAGTAAGTCGGTCCTTCATTCCTACTATTAGAATGCAACTTACATATATTCTATGTACTCAAAAAAAAAAAAAAAAATCGTTTTCCTTGGACCCTAAGAGTCCTTTACGTAAACACAACAATTACTCATCCGAATATTAAACCCTAACCTAATATAAATATAAAATTACCAAATTCTACTAATGAAATAATTATGTTTTTAAAGTTGATTTATTATATTTCCAACATTTCCAAAATTTGCCTCTGCTATTTATTGGAAATCATTCTTCTCACACCATCTCTCTCATGGGGCGCTGTTCTTGCCTTAATTTCTTTGTTAACTTTCTATTTGCATTTTGTTCACTTATTCCAAATTTTTTATGGACCTCCAAAGATCAATTGGAATATTAACAGGTCGTCTAACATTGATTGAACCACTGCTCTCACCAGAGTTTGGATCCTATTAAGAAATTTGTGCTGAAGCCTCTGGGAGATTAGTCGAAGAAATCCTACAAACAACCGCATTGGAGCTTGCAAAAACAAAGACACAGGTGCTAAATGTTTTGCCCCTTGATGTAGCTACCCTTCATTAAGAAATTATTCTCAGTATAATAACTTCATAATTGCAAATATTATATCTTAATCCATAAGGACATCAGTTGGATACTGAAACTGTTCAAGGTAATTTAAACTCCAAGATATTTTCTAATTTATTCTCAGTATAAATTACCTTGTTTAAATTACTATCAGGAATTCCCATCAGTTGTCAAATCAATGGGACCATAATTAGTGCTGGAGACACCTGAGAAGATTGAAGTTTTTAGACTAATGAAGCATTCAATTTTTAGAATAGAAGATTGACCAGCTTGAACACCGCTGAAATGGGAATTCCTTGTTTCTATAATACTAAACAAAAATTGAAAGTTTTATTGTTCTAAACTCACCAAAAAAAACCATGAAAAAAGTCTAGTTCAATGCTCGAGAGCGATAATCTTGGTAATGGCACAGTATTCATTCTTAGCATGATTCGAAGTTTGCATGTAGGCGACATCCAGAAATCAAAAACTGAGCAAGAAAAATCAATGAACGGAAATCAAAATTACTCACTCACTTAGGTCTTTATTATAAGGCATTTTGATTTGTCCTAAATTTCAGACAGTATGTTTTTTTTTTATAGGAAAAGAACCTTAAACCTATAGTTTCACATTCATTGTATTCCCTTAATTATTAAAAAATATTTTTAACATCTTTTTTTCTAATTAGAAAAAAATATAATAGGTGAAACTTGGGACAATATGCCTTATAACAAGGACCGGAAGAAGACTAGACAATCCAAGGAACAATTTTGAACAATTTAAATTGTTCATCGGCATTGAGAAAATTTGAGAATGTCCACAACACTGTTATAGTGAGAGCGCTCGACAAAGAGATTGTGGATGTTGTTCAAGCTTATATTCTCGCTTGGTTCAACGCTTTAAGCAAAAAGAGGAGGAGTGGAGACGTCGACTCCATCAATACGATCTCGACTTCCAAGACTCCCTGATTCTAGAGGCAAATATCAGCGATGAGATGAAAAAGTTGAAGGATGAAAATGCTCGACTGAGGAAGCGTGAGAAGATAACGGTATCTCCATGGTTCCTCAAGAAATTCGACTTGCTTGCCTTGGTCGAGAAGCAGATAGAGGTCCGGACAGAGCGTTTCATAGCTGCAATTGATCTCTTAAAGAAGAGAACCAAAGAAGCAGATTTCTACTCGAAACAGGTCGCTGTTCTACAGAACATATTGGTTGATAATGAAATCGCTCTCCCATTTTGACGATCTCGATCCAAATGAAGAAGACCTTAAGGATAGCTACTGAAGAATACCTGCTTGAAATCGATGAACAAGATTGAGAGATTGTAGACCTTAAGGATAAGCTAGGCCATTGTATTAACCAACTTAGAGTCGTCGGGTTCTCTGGGGTTATTAAGCCCTCCTGAGTCAACCCTAGGGGAAAGAATCTTAAGACTTAAATGTATAGTGGTGTAATACATTTATCTCGAGCTTGTATAAGCGTCGATTATGTAGTTGTACTCGAGCATAATTTGTATAAGTGCTTATGGGCCGGATGTAAAGTACATGGCTCTGTCGAGGAATCAGGTACGGGTCCCTTGATAAAATAGTACCGCGATCTGCGGTGGGTACGAGGAAAGATCCTCGGTTTATATGTCCGGATGTTGAATACACGGCACAATCGAGGATGGCCCTCAATAGGGTGTCCATCTCGCTGACTAGTCATAAAATATTGTCGACACATTTAAAGTATGAAAAATATGTAATGACTTTTATTGATAATTGCCCGGGGACCCGGGATAGCATTACATACGAAGGAAGTGAAAATAACAAGTCATAGAGCAAGTAAAATAGCACATAACATATAATAATTTAGACATAGAACCTGCGAAGGTTCTGAATGTTCCACCATTGAGGAAGAGTGGTCTCTGTGTCATCTATTGCCTGCAGTCGATAGCTGCCAGACGGGGAGACTTGAATGACTCGATAAGGTCCTTCCTAATTTGGTGATAACTTTCCCTAGGCTTCTGCTCGACTGGCTTCATTTTTCCTGAGTACTAGATCCCCGACTGCAAAGTCAGCGCTCTTGACTCGCTTATTATAGTGTTTCCTGAGGATCTCTTTGTACTTGGCTTCCCGGACTTTTACGGCGTCTCGCTGTTCTTCGAGTAGGTCGAGGTTAGTCGGGATGTCTTTATTGTTGGTTGTCTCGACAAAGCTGATTGTTCAAGGACTGGGAAGACCGATTTCCACTGGGAGAACCGCGTCCATTCCATAGATCAGACTGTAAGGTGTTTAATCCGTAGAAGAGTGAGCTGTAGTGCGATACGCCCATAGAACGTGAGAGAGTTCGTCAACCCAATCACCCTTGGCGCTGTGCAACCTATTCTTGATCCCATGTAGAATGGTTCTGTTAATCGACTCAGCTTGGCCGTTTGCTTGAGGATGAGCAACCGCGGAAAATCGGCGCTCGATTTGCATCTCCGCACACCATGACTTGAACGGATCACTCTCAAACTGAGTCGCATTGTCCGATACCATTATCCTGGGCATTCCAAAGTGACATATCACGTTTGCCCAGAAAAAATTCAACACCTGTCTCCCGGATATCAAGGCTAATGGCTTTACTTCTACCCATTTGGTAAAATAGTCTACTGCCACGATAACCCATCGTAGTCCTCATGTCCCTTTTGGAAAAGGGCCAATGATGTCAGTGCCCCACTAGTAGAATGGCCAGGGGCTTTGGATAGTTACCATTTCATGTTGTGGCTGCCGGGTGATAGGTGATAACCGTTGACATCTATCGCACTTTTGCACGAATTGGTAGGCATCTTTGAAAACTGTCGGCCAAAAGTATCCTGCTCGAAGAACCTCTTTATCTAATCCTCTTGCTCCCATATAGGCGCCGCATGAACTTTCATGAATTTCTTCAAGGATGTAGGCTGTTTGTCTGGGCCGATACACTGCAACATTGGCAACAAATACCCGTACTTATACAAGATTCCGTTTCTCAGTGTATACTTGACTGCCTTCAGTTTTAGTGCTCGAGCTTCTGACTTATTGTCGAGTAGCACCCCGCTTTCGAGAACCGTATGAATGGAGTTATCCATGTATCACCATCTTCTGTGATAGTAAGAGAGACTCGAGGATAAATGCTAGGTTCAGGGAGCATTTCGACCCACACCTTATGACTTAATTGTGCGAAGTTAGACGAAGCTAGCTTACTCAGGGCATCGGCTCTTTTGTTGCTGGTTCTGAGAATGTGGGAGATAGAATATTTCTCGAACTTACCCCTGAGCTCGAGGACTTTTTCAAGGTATTGCCAGAGATGCTCTTCCCGGACAGTGTAATTGCCGTCAATTTGCGTAACCACCACTTGGGAGTCGCTAAAAACTTCCAAATTCCGGACTCCTAGCCTTAGAGCCATGTTTAACCTCTTTCATCTCCTCGATTTCCTGTGACGTAGCTGGTTTGGTTAATATAATCCCAGCTCCTCCCCCATCCTAACAAGATGAGCCGTCACACATAAAGAGTCCAAGCTCGCGGATCTACAGGAATGTGTTTCTGCAGTGGTGTTTTTGGTAGTGGTTCCGGCATGGTGTCTGAAGTGCGGGGCATATCGACAAGGAAATCCGCAAATGCCTGCCCTTTTATATCCGTCCTAGGCTTCTACTCGATATGGTGCTCCCCCAGCTCGATGGTCCATTTCATCATTCTACTCGAAGCCTTAGGCTTGAGAAGAACTTGCTATATAGGTTGTTCGGTTAAGACCTGAATCGGGTGAGCTTGGAAGTACGGACGAAGCCGTCGAGCAGCAAGCACCAGACTTAGTATCAGTTTTTCCATGGGGGTGTATCGGGATTCTGCCCCCTGTAGGACTTTGCTCACAAAGTAAACTGGGATTTCTTTGCCGTCTTTTTTCTGGATGAGAACCACGGATATAGCAGTTTCTCGAGCAGCTAGATAAACGTATAGGGTTTTTCCCGGCTCCGGTTTAGCTAACATGGGAAGTTGCTCGAGATGCTCTTTCAGGTCCTGGAAGGCTTTCTCATACTCTTTAGTTCATGCAAAACTCCTCCCTTTTTGCAACGTCTTGAAAAAGGGGAGGCTCCTCTCTGCAGCTCGAGATAGGAACCTATTTAATGCCGCCAGGGATCCCGTAAGCTTTTGAACTTCTTTGACTATTTTTGGGGCTTCCATGGACAAAATTGCTTCGAATTTTGTGGGATCAATGCTTATTCCATCTTTTGATACTTGAAAGC